GTTCTTTTTGGTTAGGAACCGAGTCCAGAATTTCCTAGCTGACTCTCCGGGCTGTTGAGTAATGTGTCTCAAGTCATCGGCCTCCGGTGGTCGCACATATGTGCCCTGGAAGTTGTCGAGGAATGTGTCTTCCAGGTTTTCTCAACTGCCAATGGAATTTGCAGGCAGGCTGTTTAGCCAGTGTCGGGCAGGTCCTTTGAGCTTAAGGGGAAGATATTTGATGGCGTGTAGATCGTCTGCGCGGGCCATGTGAATGTGGATTAGGAAATCTTCAATCCATACTGCGGGGTCTGTTGTGCCATCGTACGATTCGATGTTTACGGGTTTGAACCCTTCTGGGAATTCATGAGCCATCACTTCGTCAGTGAAGCAGAGGGGGTGTGCGGCGCCTCTATGCCGGGCTATGTGGCTACGCAGTTCGAATGAGTCTGGGTGGCTGTGTTTGGCCCGTCCGGACTTGTTCATGGTGTATCCGGCGTGACGATCATCGTCGCGTGTTGGGGCATGCCCCCGCGATCCGTAGATCGATCTTGGTTGTCCTACTTTGTTTTCATTATATCTTGCAGGTCCTGCCTATTGCCCCGGGCCGTAGTGTATTGGCGTGGGGGTGCGGGCTGGTATTCGGGATAGTATGCCGTTTTATCCCGGCCACGATGTGGCCGGTCAGCCGTCTGGCGCTCGAGTCCGTATTCCTCAGCTGCCAGGACTTCAATCCATCTGTCTGTGAGCAGGTCTTGATCAGCTTGGAGCTGCTGCTGCTTCTTTTTCAGGCTCCTTGCAGTGGCCATAAGCCGGCGGTTGAAGCGCTCCTTCTCCACGGGGTCCTCAGGCACGCCGAACTCGTAGTCGCCGATGCTAATCTCATCTTCGGAGGATAGCATGTAGTTGTCCTCCTCCGGATACCCGTCCGTCGCCTGTTCATCCGGGCTGACCTGCCCGTCTTCCTGCTCGGCCTGTTCGAAGGCAGGCTGATCAGGGTTGTATTCATCTTCGGCACCATCCGGATTGTTTTTGTCTCCTGTGCCGGTATTGCTGTGGCGGGGCTTGGAGCGGCGCCAACGACGCCCATGCTTTGCTTTCTTCCCTGAGGGGTTATCCTCCGTTGCCTCATCGCCGTTGGTTTCCTTCGGAG